TTTAGGGTTTAGGGTTTGCTGTTGAAGGCGTCTGCAGGGTGTTCCGCGGTTTTTTTGCTCCGGGTTTGGGGTAGCCTCAGGAGTGTAGGGTTTTGGGGGCTTGGCGGGGTTGGCTGGAGATATTTTGTCGATGTTGGTGTGTCGGTGCTTCAACGAGTTTTTCCATGCACTATCCTAAACCCTAAACCCTAAACCCTTCATTGCTTTCATAAGGGACTATGGGTTCAGCTTTGGGCCCCTTGTTTGGTGTCGTGCGTTTTCTTAGGATTTTTCAGTTGGTTTTTTTTTCCAACAAGGTTGTGTAAGGGTTTTGTGGGATCTTACCCGCTTAGAGGTTTTGGGGTTTCGGGCTTCGAGTTCCCTTTTTTGGGACTGTTTGCGGATACAAACCCTAAACCCCTAAACCCTAAACCCTAAACCCTAAACCCTAAACCCTAAACCCCTAAACCCCTAAACCCCTAAATCAAGTTCCCCGACTCACAACCTCCTTTCTTGGGTGCATTAAGATTCAGATCCCCATTTTTATCACCCTCACGAAGGCATAAGGGGTATTGTTCCTAGAGCTTATACGTACCTTTGTAGGTCCGGGGAGGGCTTCTTCCGGGTCAGTAAGTTTTCAGCGCACATTTCTCATTCTCTTCTTTCTTAATAGTTCCGACCTCTATGGTATAGCTTCTCGTTCGATGTTTTTCCTGGGAAGTCATTTGATAGGGAGGCCTGAGTACTTAGGAATCAGGTGAAGGATTCCCATGCAGTTCCCCCCATACATATGCCATACTCCCATAATCTGAGTCTGATTATTGAGATTGAGGCCCCTCATACAGCCAGACAATGCCCATTTTAAAAGCCTGTGATTCGCTTTTGCTAAGGCCCCGATTTCAATCTGAACCCCATTTCCCCAACTATCGCAAACCCCTCAGCCATCTCCAACCTTGAACCCCAAACCGCTTATGACATAGTATCCTACAAGAGCCCTATGCAAAAGCATGACGGGGTGCCTCTCATGTTAGAAACCAAGCAAGACACATACACCCAAGCTGTTCACACCTACCCTCTTGTACGAAGATTGCCTCGAGATTTGCGCAGGTTTATTAGGGTGTAGGGTTTAGGGTTTTAGGGTTTAGGATTTAGGGTTTTGCATACTGAGATTTAAATAAATAAGCCCTGAGCCTCAAATCCGAACCCCACCCCTGCATAACCCGCATCCCCGCGCTGGGCTCAAAGACATCTCCAAGGTCCCACATAGATAGTTCTCTAAATTAGGGTCCCTTTTGGGGGTACCACAATGGTATGAGTTTAGGGTTTAGGGTTTAGGGTTTAGGGTTTAGTTCTCTAAATGGGTGTCCCTTTTGGGGTCCTTTTTTAAAAGGGACCCAAATTGAGAGAACCACCCACATAGATTGGGTGTCACCATGGCCGGCCGTGTAGATGGCAGCACATACCAAGAGGCGGGACTGGTTGGAACGGTTTCCAGGTTGATATAATCTAGAGGCTTCAATAATTGCCTACATTATTTTGGGGGTTCCTTATTCTAATTACAGGATAATGTACCCCAAACCCTGTTCTAAATAACTATATTGGGTTTTAGAGTTTTTTTTTTCGGTCTCTGAGGTTTGCATTTGTAGGTTGAGGACCCAAACCTAAATGTACTTGTTTAGTCCCCCAGGTTCATTAGGAGTAGGGTTTAGGGGGGTCGGGGTGGCGGATTTTTTGGGTTTGATTTCACCTTAAACACGCCTTTGTAGTGGCTGCGAGTGTTGTGCATGTTCCTGAAGCCAGAAAGCCAAGATACGGCCCCAGATTCCGTTGCAGATCGATAGTGTCGAGGTCATTTAGTGTTTCGCGGTCTTCGGAAGCAAGCTAATGCCTGTCTGCGGTCTGCTCAACATGAGATCCGGAGACGGGATGTGTTGAGTGGGGGGTCGAAGACTACGTCTGGGTAGCCTCACCCCTTGCAAGTGTGACCGTGTACATGGGTAGTTTTCAAAATTATGGTCCGTTTTGGGGTCCTCTAAATAATAGGTGCCGTATTATAATAAGGACCCAAAAAGGGACCCTAATTTTGAATATTTTGAGAACTACCCACATGGCCCCGTCGCTCTTTGGTGGCTGGGTTTGTAACAAGTAACAACCGGCTGCTCCAAGTCTGAACCCTGTAGCTGAGCCATATCGGGATACCTTCAAAACCTCGTCTAATGCAGGGGCCTAAGTAATTACCTGTACTATTTTGGGGGGTTCCTTAGTGTAATTATAGTATGATGGGCCCCAAAACCCTAGTCTAATTCTTCAGGCATCTACATTACCCAAACCCCCGAAGCCTCGAATCTCACACCACGTAAGGCCCGCGTCCCGCGAAGCCTTGAATCTTACGCCGCGTGAGGCCCGCGTCGTGCACGATGGCGGAGACAGTGTCCTCGGTAAGCTGTGCCTTGGGCTGGATAAAGGGTTTAGGGTTTAGGGTTTAGGGCCCTAAAACTTAAATTATTACCTATACTAATTTTTTTTTGGGGGGGGTTCCTTATAATAGCTATAGTATAATATACCCCCCAAGCCCTATTCTAATTATTGACGCCCTATATTAGTTGGTGTGTCCGGTTTAGGTTTATCGGGCACGGGGCTCAAGGTTAAGCAGAGTAGGTAGAGTTTGGCTTCCAGCTTAAAGCCCAAACCCTTTATGGCAACTCCAAAATGCCAAACTATGATCGCACTAGCCAATCTGCTTCGATTGGGTGCTGCCTCAACGTGTGCATGCTGCCTCGATCGCCGCACGTCAGGCGAGGCAGCACGCAAAAATCAAAGCAGCACTTGATTGATACTTAGAGTTGAGAGACCGAGTGTGTGAGCTCCTTTCGATCTTCCTGTGGGGCTTGTTTTTCCCTGGATATAGTATCCTAAGGTCCAAAGTATCTCATGGTTGAAACTCAAAATAACACTAAACCCTCAGCCCGAAACAATGTCCTTCATGTAAATCTAGACCCCAAGTAAGGTTATAAGTCCCTTAATTAGGGTTAGAAGTATAGTTACCCTAATTATAACCCTACTTACTAAGTCCCATGATCCTTCAAGTAGACCCTAAACCCTAAACCCTAAACCCTAAACCCTAAGTAGACCCCTGATGCCTGAAGACCCGGACCAGCCCTCATATGCCACGAGGCTCCTAGCCAGGATGCTCCCAACCAGAGTCCCTATGACCCTAACTGGAACCTACTTACAACTTTAGGGTTTAGGGTTTAGGGTTTAGGGTTTAGGGTTTAGGGTTTAGGGTTTAGGGTTTCCTGAGGCTTAAATCACTTCAAGCACCCATATAAAACCTTGTTAGGTTGTTCAGTATCAGATCCCCCGAAGCTTCGAACAGGTGCGGATCCCTTTGTTGCAGTCTTCTCGGCCTTGCAATGCTCCTCGGACGAAGCCCGAACACGTCACCCTAAAGCCCAATGTAGTAGCTGTGACTTTACTCCTTCTTAGGCGTATATAATCCTGCCATGACTCAAGAGTTCGCCCTTCTTGCCACGCGGCCTTAAACGCCACAACCCTGAACGCGAGACCCTAAACCCCAGACCCTCAACCGGAAAGCCTTTTGGAGGCAAACCCTCATTCGAGATTCGCTGGTACATGTTCGAAACGCTTCGCACCGATGTTCAAGCTAGCTTTCGAATCTACCCCGTTACAAGTTCTCGTTGGGCGGCTGGTGGTTTTTGAAGGCTTTTCGGCAGTTGTGGTTGAAGGTGTAGTTCCTCAAGTGCTTTCCGGGTGTGGGTTCTGTGAATGGACAATGCGTAACGGCTGGGGGCACTCGTGACTTGCTAAGTAATTAGGGTAAAACTAGGCTCCAAAAAAACAAACCGGTTGGGGTACTCATAATGTCCGCTTGCGAGATTTCTCTGATCCTTCCAACACATAAACACGTCCAATAAAGGCCCATAAGCGATTCCCATACAGCTCTGAAGGGGCCTTACCCTTACGGCCCCGCCTTTCCGGGGACAGACTCTCAGAGGGGCTTTTACGTTCCTGTGAACCCTGCAGGGACCGCGTAATACGCTTGACGATATGAATCCCGCATTGCCCATAATCAGGAATATACCAGAATTCCCATAGTTTAGGGTCCTTGAGGTAATGCAGGATTTATATCCAGAAGACCCTACAGAACCTAAGCCTCCTCCGGAGCTTTTGGGTTTAGGGTTAAGGGTTCAGGGTTCAGGGTTTAGGGTGGGTTTGGGGTTTAGGGCTTTGGGCTTAGGGTTTAGGGCTTAGGAATTAGGGTTTAGGGCTTAGGGCTTAGGGTTGAGGGTGTAGGCTTTTGGGTTTGGGGCTGAGGGTTTAGGGCTTAGGGCCTAAATTCTCCCAGCCCTGAAGCCTCTCGGAAGGAAGCTTCCTTCGACCAGAACCCGAAATTGTGCGAAACCTGTTTCTTAGTTCTCCAATGGTTCCTTTAAAGGGGATCTATAGGGTTCCTATAAAGGGATCTATAGGGGTTCCATAACTTAGTTCTCCAATATCCAACCTTTCAACTTTTTGGGCTCTTATAACTTGGTAGCAATCTGAAAGTTTAACCTTTTATCTCCCTGGCTCATTGGGGAAGTAAGGTTTCAGAACCGCGGACCCGATCAATCCCCTGAAACATGATATGAACCCCTCCAAAAAAATCGAGCAATAACCTTATAAAGCCCCCCTAAAGCTCCACTAAACCCAAAACCCTAAACCGTTCCAGAGTTTTTGAAGTCAACCCTCAACCTTAAACCCTCAACCTTAAACCCTAAACCCTGAACCCTAAACCTTGAACCCTAAACCTTAAACCCTAAACCTTAAACCCTAAACCTTAAACCCTAAACCGTAAACCCTTAAACCTTAAACTCTAAACCTC